TATCGGGTAGTTAGGATACCATGGTCCTGAACAAAACACTTCTCAACAAGAATTTCACACGACTCACACACAAAATCGAGAAAACTCACATTTTATTGACAAAAAATAAAAAAAGCCGAATGCTTGAAATGATGGTTAAGGAACATATAGGTTTTTTGGGCCCAAAACTTTTGGCCCAAAGATACCCAAAGATTTATTAAACAATTTTCATAATATCCTCTTCTATATCACCTTTTCAGTTAGTTTATATATATATATATATATAATATATATATGAAATAAATACAAGGAAACAACACAAATAAACACAAGGAAACAGCACAAAGCATATGAAATAAACACAAGAGAAACCGGACAAATAAACACAAGGAAACAGCACAAAGCGAGCGGAGCTTATCGGTAAGTAGTATATATCCCCAACTATTGTGAAGACGTTACACAACAAAATAATTATCGTGGGGTCCTTGGGTTCTTCAAGGACCCACGATATGTAGCTCCTTTACGTGACAAAAACCATTTTACTTTTTTCATTAGTTAGAAAAGTACAGTTCAATATTTTTTATTTAAACTATATTTTATATTTTATAGAATATTTATTGTTTAAACTATCGATTTCCATTGTTTATTAGGATAAAAATAAGCTAGTTAGGTGTTGTTTACCATTATTTTACACTCAGAAATCGTGTTTTTAGCTTTCTTTAGTGTCCAGAATTGAGTTATCCTGCATTTTTATGGTTATTCTTCTTATTTTTCATGCTCTCCGTAAGAAATTAATCTTTAATCCATTTTCTTTCACCAAATTGAAGTTCATTTCGACCAGTATTTTAGATACATTTTGTTTTGGTTTGAAAATAACTATTGTCTATATATCATTGAAGTAGTGATTTAGTCTCTAAACTGTATATAATGGTTCAAATTCATATAATTTAACACTCAATCATAGAAAAAAATCGAGCATAGACACGAACTAAATGAGCCTTTCATCTTCATCTCTGTGTTCTTAAGTGTCATAGATAACAACTTAGAAAGAATTACCCGCTGAATATTGTGAAAAATGAAATCATAACAAATTTTCAAAGAAAATTGCATTTTCATTTGTGTCCAAAGGACAAGGCCACCAGTAAGGTAATGTATAATGAAAAGAAAAAGAAAACTGTGTGAATGGGAGAACAACAATAACGCGAAGAAACCTCCTAGATTCACAATAGTTGGGGATATATACTACTTACCGATAATTAGAAATGTTTCTAAGAAAAAAATAATTTAGAGAGAATAATTAGAAATGAGAATATCACCACAGGGATGTTTTGTTCGACTGATTTGAATTTAAATTTGACTTTTTGAAACTTATTGTTTTGAAATTTTACCGTATGAGTGATAACACACGATAAAGGTAAAAAAGTGCATCGGGATGGYGTTAGAGGTTCAAAGGTTGCTAAAAATAACATCTACAAAAGATGCAAAAACAAACAAACATCACTCATTCCCTTGGATGGGAGGTAAGAGGTAAAAAAAGTTAATACCTATAAAGATAGGTTTTGCCTTTTTGGTTTGGCATTTACTATCACCTAATTTGATGCGAAGACTATGGAATGAAAAGAAATACAAATTAAGAGAAAATTTGTGGAATAAATTGTTTAAAGGGTAACCCTTCTTGGTTGGTTATTTAGGATGACATGAATTATCTTGCTAAGCGTTTGGGAGATGATCGAATTATTCCTTGAGCCTAATCCATTATTTATGATGATTCATTCGATCTTATGGGAACGGGAGTGACGAAATATTTAAATTGGTACCTACGTTCAAGATATCAGAGTTGTAGTTTTTTCTCTCTCTATTTTAGGTGTGTTTGTAGAAAACTAGATGGAGTTGTTCTTGTTGCCAAAAGTCCATTAGATTGGATGTTCCCCTCCTTTACCTCTCTAACTTTCCTTCTTGGCTTTCACAGAAGGTGGAAGAAAATAACTCTGCTAATGTAGCCCAAGATGCCATTTTTTCATGATTTAACGAAGTTCTTGTTCCAAAAAAAATAAATAAATTTTCATAATATCCACATTTTCAATCTAGAATAAAATCTTCTATAATATGTGTACATATATATATATACTTTTTTATTTAATATAAAATTATAAACGTTTCTACTTTTTTTGTTATTTTAATATAAATACTAATTAAAATTTAATTTTAAGATCAAACCATTTGTGTGGGAGATGGAATTGTCTACCTTGGTATCTTATTCATTCAGCTATGATAAATTAAGTTATAAAGTTTTATTTTAAAAAAATAAAATTATTATGATAAATTAACAAATGTACAACCTAGATCTTCTTTTATAGGAGAAAGAACTATTACAAGAGGGAAAGAAAATTAAAGAATAAATATTGACAACTAATATTACATTATAGATATTAAAATTACTATATACAAAGTATGACCTGTATATTACCTTGAATAGTCATTCATTTGTCCAATACTTCTAATTGGTAACGAGAGTTCTCTCTTATCTATGGCTAGTAGCACACCCAGTAAGAGTGCAACCACGAAATCACATTATGGTGGCAGCTTGCTTTAATCTAAAGCTGCAACACATCCAACTAGAACACGAGCACGGATCACACGTTATAAAACTTAGTGTCAACCATAAGTGCACCTTCAATTTCCTCTCGTCGAACAAAGAAACCTTCTTCCTAATATCAATCTACCCAGCCGACCTGATAGGGCTATCCTTTCTTTATATCAGTCTACTCAACTTGATAAAGCATGTCTTTCTGGCTACCTCGAACAGTTTTTGTTCGATCAAGGAATTCAACTATAATTTCGTAATGACTATGAAGCTCATCAATCATTTTTTATTTGATCTTTGATGATTCCACTCACACAATTAGGTTTTTAGACGATGGCTCGGATACCATCTTAATTCTAAGAAAAAATAAATTATATTATGATATATTAAAAAAATGTGAAACCTAGGCGGAGAGAGACTTGCAACAATAAGGAAAGAAAATAAGAGAAATACCTACTACAAAATAATTAGGACTCAAAAATATTGACACTAATATTTATATAAATATTTAGTAAATATTAAAAATTCCAACATAAGTTATAGAGGGTAAATTGGGAAAATTTTAATGGATGCTAATTCACGTTGATATATTTGCAAATATGGCAATAAGATTATGATTTTGCAAATGTCCAAGTTGTTAGTAGTGCAAACAAATTCTTACATTAGCTATGAAAAGAAGAGATTCATGGTATACAGATGAGGGACAATTATCTCCGTTGATTTGGACATTTTGAATGAAACCAAATGTAAAGTCACGAGGAGGAAATCATAATATTGGATTCGAATACAGTACCACCCGTTCTGATACCATATTAGATCCGAGAATATATAACTGGCTCAACTTCTTATTAATAAAAGAGTCGTATATAGGCAAAATTACAATAGAAGCCATAACAACTAAACTACTCAAATAACTCATTAACTAACTAATACTGAATGATCTCTAATAGAGTCCCTTAGTTAGTAAGCAACTTACACTATCATTGAAAGATAGGGTATTACACATGCATCAATTTCGCTTTAAGAATATGTTTGTCAACTTTAACATGTTTTATTTTATCATGTGAAACTTTTTTAACGACAACTAAACCCTACGTATCTACACAATTGTATTATATTGTCTATTTTGGGTATTATTCCCTATGACTTTACTTTTGATTTTACCCAAAAGATCTCTTACTAATGAGATAAATGTCTACCCCTATTATATCATGGATTTACATCTTTCCTGGCTAATTTGAGACTTTGTTTACACTACTAAACAATTCTCCTATCGAACAAAGTATCATCTATATATTACCTCGAATAGTCATTCATTCATCTAGTACTCTCGACTGGTGAAGTGAGCTCTCACTTATCTATGGCTAGTAGCACACCTAGTAAGGGTGCAACCATGAAATCACATTATGGTGGCAGCTTGCTTTTATCTAAAGTTGCAACATATCAAGATAGAACATGAGCACGACCTTCTTCCTAATATTAGTCTACCCAACCGACTTTATAAGGCTATCCTTTTTTTATATCAATCTACCCGCATGTCTTTAATTTCTTGCTACCTCGAGTAGTTTTTGCCCGATCAAGGGATTCATCTACAATTTCATAATGACTATATATAAGGCTCATCAATCATTTTTTATTTGGTCTTTGATGATTTCACTCGCACACAACTAGGTTTTTAGACTATGACTTTGATACCATCTTAATTTTTTTAAAATAAATTATTATGGTATATTAAAAAAATGTGAAACCTAGGTAGAGAAAGACTTACAACAATAAGGAAATAAAATAGGAAAAATACCTACTACAAAATAAATAATAAGGACTAAATATTTACGACTAATATTTACATAAATATTTAGAAAATATTAAAATTTCAACATAAGTTATAGAGTATAAATTGGGGAAATTTTAATGGATGCTAATTTACATGGCTATATTTGCAAATATAGCAATAAGATTATGATTTTGCAAATGTCCACGTTGTTAGTGGTGGTGGAAATAAAGTCTCATAGTTAGGAAAGGGAGAGATTTCTAGTATAGGTGAGAGACAATTCTCTCTAATGATATGTGACATTTTGAATGAAACCAAATGTAAAGTTACGATGATTATGTTAAAAGTAGACAATATCATAACGTAGATACGTGGATTTTTTTGTCCTGGGTACCGAAATCTTAGATTCCCACATAAAAAACGATAAATCCTAAAGGATAAGATTGAGCAACCTCTCTACAAAAGGAATTCAAACAGTGTCCAGAGAGGAGAGAGAAATATTAATTGGGGTCAATTATTTGAGGAAAATTAGGACAAAGATATGGGCAACCTCGCTACAAATGGAATCAATGTTAGGTTATACGAAGAAAGAGAGGATGGTAAATCATAATTATATATGGAACATAATTCATGGAAAGAATCAAAGATTGCAACCTCACCATCGGATCCGGGAATCTTTTTTTAGAATCAATGTCATGTGGTTTATGACGTAGATTCTTATAATCAGAACTCGTTGTCTGGACTTGAACAACACAATGACCAGTATAGTACTTGAACCTAAAACCTCATCATAACTGATACCAAATTTAGGCAGATACTACTAAGGAGAGTTGCTCCATGGCTTATTTTCAATCACCAAAAGAGAGAGAAGCCATGGCATCTACAAACCATTCTTCATTCCTCCTATGCATCCTCTCTATTGCTTTCCTTCTGATTGCAGGTAATCCTCCTTTCCTCTCTCCCACGATAGTGGAAAATACTCGGCTTCACTTTCCTTCACATGCATATACATATATCGAGGGCATGCTCGATTTTGTAACGTTTTTATTTTTCATTTCGTATTTATTATCTCCGTGTCATTTGAGAAATAACAAAAGCAAGATCGTTTTTTCAATTCTCAAACAATAAAAGTGTATTCATCTGCCATTCTTTGTTGTTTTTAAAATTATTTTTCTTAAGTTTCATTTGGAAAAAATAAATATTCAAAGTCTTATGATATGACCATATCGAAAAAAAAAAGAAGAAGAAGAAATCAAAGCTTTGTATTTCCAAAACTTTTATTCTATTTTGATAATGTGTTGAAAAATTATAAACAAGATACTATATATCAAAGTCAAACATTACCTAACATATGGTGAAACTCCTATTTCCAATTTTTCCTTGTTTAAAATATTTATATCTGATGATACTATGAAAATATGCGACATCAATCCTTTAAACATATAGAAATGTTGATCGAAATGTGAAAATGTCCGAGTGAAATTGCAGGGCTAGGGCCAGGAGGTGCACTGAATGTACCAGTGGCGTGTTTGGGAACATGCTCAAGTTTTCCAAACTGCCATCAAAGTTGCATCTCTGCAGGTCATGTGAAGGGCGGCGCGTGTATGGGTGTCTCCTTCGACTCCTTTCTTGCTGCTGCAACATAACCTGATCTTCTTCTTTAATTTCAATTCCTCACACAGTGAACTGCTGATCATGTTTTGGATTTTATAATAATGTTGTTCAATGCCCATTTCTATGCCTTTGTGAATTGCCTGTTTGGAAAATCATATTACTACGTTTTCAAAATAATTTCGTGTACTAGCAAGGTATTAAATTTCAGCCAATATTTTTACTCTGTATATATGCGTGCGTTCGACATCGACGCAAATGAGACAACAAAATGTACATAATTTGATATTTTTATTGACATTTCCATAAATTGAGACCTCGACATTTTCATCGACATTGTCGTTTAAAATCTTGATACTAAGTAGGAAAATAGGAAGTGCGAGAAAAAACCAATAATGGAAATGGTGTTTTACGGGCATTTTTACGGTTTCGAACTTATTTTCACTTGATCAAAGATAGATATTAATTACCACTAGACAGGTTATTACCACTTTTTTTCTTATTTTTGATAACCGCTACTACTACATTAATTAGAAATTTATTACAAAACTTTATTAMAAAAATATTCAGGTAGGAAATTTTCACTCAATTAAATCTTTTTAATGATTTCACAGAAAAATATTATATATCATGTTAGACTAAAGATTGTCTTTTTAAACAACCTTATGTTAAAAGTCTAGTACTAGAATGTGATTGTTCCATCTGGTAACGATGAAAGCAAAATATTTAAAAAACAATCAAAATAGGAATATCTATTCAAAGGAAGAAAACTAAAATGGATGGATTTGGATTCTAATTCAAATAAGTCAGAGGTTCCTTGTATAGAGTTCCTATTTGGCCTTCCATTATCCGAATAGGGCCTTTTCAATTAGGCCCAAAAAAAGTAGTCTGCTGATTGATACTATGTGTTTTTTTCCTAGAGATAATGTCTTCGACAAGCTATTTTGCAAATTTATTTTTACAAATGGTCCAATATTTATAAATTTTACCGTCTTAGATTTCTGGATTTAAAACTTTTTTCAAATGTCAAATTTACCCTTATTTATAGTATTTATATTTATTATAATTTATCTTTTATTTAAATCTAAAAGATTAATATTCCAAATTTTATTTTGTAAACATTAAATTATTGTGGGACCTAAATCAATCATTCTCATAATTCCTTAATTTACTCTTTAATATATCCTACTAAAGAATGAAATTTATTACAAAATATTCCATTATTATTATAATCTTCAAATTTACTCCTTAATATATGAAATTTATTACAAATATTTTTTCATTTATTACTTTTTTTTCTTACCAAATTTTAATAATATAACCATTATAACATACACTTATATAGAAATATATATATATATAGACATATAAACTATATCTGACTACCTTTTCAGTTATATGGAAATTTAAACTATATCCGGCTATAAACTCAAGCAACATACACTTAACAATGGTGATATAAACTATAGTCATTATAACATACACTTATATGGAGATATAACCTATATCTGGCTATAAAGTATATACGACTATATCCATCTACAATTAACAAACAAAGCAAATAACCTACAAACCTTCCGGTCGGCGACTAGACAATGGTTGGGATAAGCGGAGGACTGGAATGATCGACGGGTGGCCGACGACAAAAAAGAAACCTCGGGATAAACAGACGGAAACAATGGACGGGCGGCCGGAAACGAAGCAGAAGCTAGACGGATTGTTCCAGCGACAGAGAAGAATGGAGACGGCGGCCGGAGACGAAGGAATGGACGAAAACAGAACGATAGAAGAAGAAGAAAAGTCGGAGGAATGAGGTTTTCGAATTTTTTCAACAATGGAGGATTTTGGGGAGTTGATATTTTTCAGTTTTGGAAAGTCTAATTAGGCAAAATTTGAGGGATTTAAAATGTAACCTCCCAAGTAGCCAATCTTGGATTTTTAAAATTAATTAACATTGAGGTGAGATACAAAAGGATATATTAGTAAATTGGGTGATAGGTATCATCCTAAATGAGATTGTTTTATGACAAAAGTATAAATTTTATACAATTCAATCCTTTCATGTAATTATAGTCTCTAAATAGCCTATCAATGTACTAATCCCTTTTTTCAAGACAGGCGAACATTCTTACTCACGACTTTTTAATAATTACATTAATTAGTTGAGCTAGGTTCAAGTTAATTACTGAATGATACTACGTTATTGATAAAACATATGACCTTTTCATATTTTTCTATGATGGTATGGTATTGTCTATTTCGAGCCTAAACTTTCTATTTCAAA